CTATATAGATGCTGCCTCCAAGAGACCCATCTCATATTGAAAGATACACAAGACTAAAAGTAAAGAGTTGGAAAAGATATTATATGCAAATAGAAAAGAAAAATAAGCTGCGGTAACAGTGCTTATATACAACAATATAGACTTTAAAACTAAGGCTATAGTAAGAGACAAAGAAGGACACTACATAATGATAAAGGGAAGACTCCAACAAGAGGACATAACCCTAGTAAACATTTATGTACCCAACATAGGAGCACCTAAATATGTAAAGCAAATCTTGATGGACCTAAAAGGAGAGGCTATCAGAAATACAGGCATAGTTGCGATTTTTAACACCCCATTGATTTCAATGGATTGATCTTCCAGACAGAAAATCAACAATGAGAGAACAGCCTAAATAACACACTAGATCAAATGGATTTTATTGGTATCTTCAGAGCATTTCACCCCAAAGCAGCAGAATATACATACTTTTCAAGTACACATGGAATATTTCCTAGGATAGACTACATGCTAGGACACAAAACAAGTTTCAGTAAATTTAAGAAGATTGAAATCATATCAAGCATCTTCTCTGACCACAATGCTATGAAACTAGAAATCAGTCCCAAAAAGAACACTGAAAAACATGCAAAGACATGAAAGCTAAATAACATGTTACTAAACAAAGAATGGATCAGCAAGATCAAGGAAAATTTCAAAAGATATCTTGAAACAAATGAAAATGAGGAACCAACAATCCAAAATCTGTGGGACACCGGGAAAACAATCCTAAGAGGGAAATTCATAGCATTACAGGTCTATTTGAAAAAACAAGAAAAAGCTCAAATAAGCAATCTAACTTCATATTTAAGGGAACTTGAAAAGGAACAACAAAGCCCAAAGTGAGTGGAAGGAAGGAAATAATTAAAATCAGCAGAAATGAATGAAATAGTCTAAAAAAATGATACAAAACATCAATAAATCCGAGAGCTAGTACTTTGGAAAGATAAACAAGATTGATAAACCTTTAACCACGCTCAAAGTAAAAAAGAGAGAGGACACAAATAAAATCAGAAATGAAAGAAGAAACCTAACAACTGACACCAAAGAAACACAAAAGATTTTAAGAAAATATTATGTACAACAATATGTCAACTAATTGGACAACCTGGATGAAATGAATAAATTCCCAGAAACATATCTTCCAAAACTAAATCAGGATGAATCAGAGAATTTGAATAGACATTACTTCTAGTGAAATTGAAGCAATAATCAAAAAACTCCCAACAAACCAAAGTCCCAGACCAGATGGCTTCACAGTAAATTTTTCCAAATATTCTGTGAAGAACTAACACCTCTCCTTTTCAAACTATTTCATAAAATTAAAGAGGAGGGAAGCCTCCCAAACTCATTTTATGAAGCCAGAACTACCCTAATTCCAAAAGCAGATAGACACTACAAAGAAAGAAAATTATAGGCCAGCATCCCTGATGAACATAGATGCTAAAATCCTCAGACAAATATTAGCAAATTGAATACAGCAATGCATCAAAAAGATCACACACCATGATCAAGTGGGATTTTTTCCAGGAATTCAAGGATGGTACGACACTCACAAATCAATAAATGTGATTCAGCACATAAGCTAAATGAAGGATAAAAACCACGTGATTATATCAATAGATGCAGAAAAAGCTTTTGATAAAATCTAGCACCCATTTATGATTTAAAAAATCCTCAGGAAAGTGGGATTAGAGGGAACATACCCAAACATAATAAAGGCCATATACAACAAACCTACTGCCAGTGTCATACTCAATGGGCAAAAATTACAGGCATTCCTTTTAAGGTCTGGAACAAGACAGGGATGTCTGCTTTCACTTCTCGTATTCAACATAGTACTGGAGGTCCTAGCCTTAGCAATCCGACAAGAAGAAGAAATAAAAGACATCCAATTTGGAAAGGAAGAAGTAAAACTGTCTTTATATGAAGATGACATGATAGTGTACATAGAGAACCCAAAAGATTCTATCAAGAAACTACTTTAACTGATAAATGAATTCAGCAAAGTAGCAGGATTCAAAATTAATATCCAGAAATCAGTGGCATTTTTATATGTCAATAACAAACTAACAGAAAGGGAAATTTAAAAAAAAACAATCCCATTCACAGTTGCTTCAGGAAGAATAAAATGCCTAAAAAGAAATTTAGCCAAGGATGTAAAACACTTGTACTTGAAAATTATAAGACACTGAAGAAAGAAATTGAAGAAGATACAAATATATGTAAGCATATACCATGTTCATGGATAAGGAGAATTAACATCATTAAAATATCTATACTACCCAAAGCAATCTATAGATTCAATGAAATTCCTGCCAAGTTTCCAATGATGTATTTCATAAAACTAGAACAAATATTTCAAAAATTTATATGGAACCATAAAAGGCACCACATAGCAACAGTGATCCTGAGAATTAAGAACAAAGTTGGAGGAATCACACTACCTAACATCAAACTACACTGCAAGGCCATGTAATCAAAACAGCCTGGTGTTGTCATAAGAACAGACAGATAGATCAATGGAACAGAATAGAGAGACCAGAAATAAACCCACACCTTTATAGTCAATTAATATTCAACAGAAGAAGCAAGAACATACAATGGGCTAAAGATAGCTTTCTTAAATGGTGTGGGAGAAATTGGACAGATGCATGCAGAAAAATGAAACACCACCTTCTTACACCAAACACATGAATAAATTCAAAATAGATCAAAGACTTAAATGTTAGCCCCTAAAACCATAAAAATCCTAGAAGGAAACAGGCAGCAAAATCTCAGACATGGCTTGTAGAAATTTTTTGTCAGATATATCTCCCCAGGCAAGGGAAACAAAAGAAAGAAAAATATAGGATTTCATCAAACAAGAGTTTTTTCACAGCAAAGGAAATCATCAACAAAATAAAATGGCAGCCCACAGAATAGGAGAACATATTTGCCAATACCTCTGACAAAGGGTTGATATCCAAAACTTATGAAGTACTTATAAAACTCAATGCCAAAAAAAACCAAACAGCCCAATTAAAAAATGGGTAAAGTACCTAAAGAGACACTTCTCCAAAGAGGATATACAGATGACCAATAGACATATGAAAAAATGCTCAAGGTCCCTAATCATCAGGGAAAAGCAAATTAAAACCACAATGAGATACCATATCACACCTGTCAGAATGGCTATCATCAATAAATCAAAAAACAAGTGCTGGCAAGGGTGTGGAGAAAGGGGAACCCTTTTCCACTGTTGGTAGAAATGCATACTGGTGCAGCCATTGTAGAAAGCAGTGAGGTGTGGAAATATCTCAAAAATTTAAAAGTGGATCTGCCTTTTGATTCAGTGATCCCACTTCTGGTAATATACCTGAAGGAACCCAAAACACTAATTCAAAAGTACAAAAGCACTTCTATGTTCATTGCAGTGTTATTTACAGTCACCAAGATATGGAGGCAGCTCAAGTGTCCATTAGTAGATGAGTGGATAAAACAACTATGGGACATTTACAGAGTGAAATTCTATTCATCTGTAAAAAAAAAAAAAAAAGACTTTACTCTCTGCAACAGTATGGATGGACCTGGGGAACATTATGCTAAGTGATATAAGCTAGTCAGAGAAAGACATATATACCTTATGATTTCACTCATGCATGGAATCTAATGAACAAACTGAACTAACAAGCAAAACAGAGACTGACTTATAGATGGAGAGCAGATGACAGCTAGTAGGACAGTGGCGGTATTTAGAGGGTGGAGGGATTGAGCAGAAAGGAAAAAGCACTCACGGACATGGACAACAGTGTGGTGTTTTCTGGGGAGAGGGTGGTTCAAAGGGTCTAAATGGTAATGGTAAAAATATAAAGATTAAATTTTTAAAAAAGATTAAATGTCTTACAATTCTGTCTGTTTCAGTTATCTGTTGTCCCAATGCAAATTCCATGTATTGGCTTTGCTCAAGTTTAAGAAGTGGCACTATTATATAAACTATAACATAGAATCTGATCTGTTGTAGATACTTTACATATTAATTTACTTAATCCTCTTGTTTGCTTTATGAACTAAGTACTCTTAACCTCACTTTAAAGATGACTAAACTGAGTCAATGAGTGAGGTAAAAACTTTCTGAAGTCCATGGAGCTACTAAGTTTTGGAGCCAGGACACAATGCTATAGAGCCTCCTTTCTTCCCAGATGGTACTAGCCACTCAGACTTGTGTGCCCATTTCTTGCCCCTGAAAGCAATTTCCCAAGTAGCTGCTAGATCGCCCACAGTGGAAGGGGGTAGGCACACCCAGATGCATTTGCTGTCTTGGTTGCCTGTGTGCCCTGCTGTTCCTTATGCATGTCTCAGGCTATTTGAAAGGGCACCTGGGTTGCAGCTGCTTGTCTACTTTAAGTCTTTCAAGTAAGTCACCAGTTCAAGTGAGTCACCAATTCTAGGCCAACAGCTCTTGTTTCCAAGTTTAGTTTTACATTAATTATAAGAGAATCCTACTATTTTGTAAACTTAATATATATAGGATACAAGTTGAGGGGGCAGAAAACAGTGAGAACTAAGGTTTTACTGGTTAATTTCTACTATATCTACCTGGACTGTTTGAAATTTCCGACTCCTGACCCTGCATCTAGGTGTTGTTGGGGTCATGGAAAATGGGGCGGGGAGGAAAGCTTTGTTTTATTAAAGTCTAATGCACCCACTCTCCTCAGGAAGCTTTTGCCAAACCCACATTGATGGAATTATCCCTTTGGGGGTGGTGTGTGTGTGTGTGTTCCAATAGCAATCTCTTTACACATAATTATAATGCGCAAACAGGTTTATTTGTATACACAACAATGAAGAAAAGCAGTCTTCTGCCAAATGGAGATTAAGATTCTTAAGTAGTTGATTTTGGGATCTACTACAGTGGATTTTAGCATCTACTACAGCAGGGAAGACTTGCTTTATTGTCTTCAGATGTTAGTCTTTACCTGACACCTCAGCAGGCTTTTCAAATGGTTCTTCCTGCTGGGCCTGCTTTTCTAATCTCCTATGATATATAAGCTGGTGTTCCAGGTAGCTTGTGTTCCTCCTCTGTTTATCCAGGTACTTTCCCATGAAGCGTACAAGCTACAGAAATAAAATAGGGAAGGACTCTTAAGAACCTTGTCCGCAACAGGAGGCAATCTAAAATCTTGCTACCCTTGCTCTGGCTAGTGTTGCACAGTGGGTTGGAGCATTGTCAAAAGGTCAAGGATTCAATTTCTGGTCAGGGCACATGCCTAGGTTGCAGGTTCAGTCCCTGATCAAAACCTGTGATAGAGGCAATTGATCAATGTTTCTCTCTCCCTCCCTTCCCCTCTCTAAAAATCAATAAGCATGTCCTCAGGTGAGGACAAAAAATTAAAATAAAATACAATCTTGCTACTGAAAGTATAGCTCATGGACCAGCAGTCCTGGAAGCTTGTCACAAAAACAGAATCTCAACTACTGCTCCAGACCTTCTAAATCGGAACCAGCATTTTTTTTTTTTTTTAAAGAACTTGCCTTTAAGAAGGGACTAGGTAGTTCATACACACATAGAAGTTCAAACAGCACTGATCTAAGACATTCATGACCTCCAGGTAAACACAAATATCCTCTTTCAATGAGCATGAGTGTTAGGGCAATTCATCAAAAGTACAGATTAATTTAAACAGGCTACTGCTGCAGTGGTTTTCCACCCTGTTTTTTTTTTTTTAATCACATGGAGCTTTCAAGTTGGTGCCCAGATCCAATTCCCAGGGATTTAGGCTTCAGTAGCCTGGCATAAGGCTCAGGCATTTGTACCTCTCCAGAGTTCCTATATAAGTCCAATATGCATCATAACTTTTGTACAAAAATGCTAGGGGGTTAGTGAGAAAGAAGTTATCAGTGCAAGGTAGAGTATTCGCCATTAATCAGGGAGACTTCAGTGAAGTCTATAGGATAGTAAGTCACCACTGACATTCACTTTTGCAGGGGCTGTCTAGGGCAGTGGGTCTCAAAGTCTGGCCCTTAGCCAGCACACCTTGGATGCCACATGAAACTAATCGAATCAGAAACTGGGGGTGATGCCTGGTTTGTTTTAGTAAGCCCTTCAGGTGATTCTGGTACCCATTAAAGTTTAAGCACTTCTTGTCTAGGAGATTTAAAAGCCAGCAACAAGTTATTTTGTTGTTATTTTTTAAAATTATACAGAGTGCATTTTTCCTGGGATGTCTCCCCCATCCCGTGTTGAGTTGCATTTCATCTAACCAGGGCATCTGCTCCTCCCACCTCCAATCGACTCCCAGAAGTAAGTTCATATGCTTCCTTGGGGGAAAACAAGCACATGCTGGATGGTCCACTGCCTTGGACCCACTTCCCAGAAGCAAGTTCTAACCTAGAAGTGAAAGATGACACTGTATTCAGAACCGGTTAACTACTTACATCCTTATCACTGCTGTCTGAAGCCACGGTCTTCAGGTCCTGCAGAAGCTGGGTTAATTTGTTCTCCAACTCCAGAGCAGACTCTAGAGCCTTTATACCAGTTCCCCAGGTATCTATATCAGGCCTCTGTTGGAGGGAAACAGGGAAGTCACCTTGGCCACAGTGTTATTACTTTCTACATCCTAGGTAGGATGATGACTAGGTTTCTATAGCCCAATAGTTTCTAAACCTTGTGGCAAAATAGAGCATCATAAATACTGATGTCTGGATTTCAACTACAGACATTTGGACTTAATTGGTATGCAACACAACCTCAGCATCAGGATTTTTAAAGCTCCCCGTGTAATTTTAACATGCTTACAAGGCATGGGTGCCACCAGCACAGTTACGTGCACTATTCCATTAGCTTTGGAATTCCATGAAGGTGGTTTAGTTCAGTTACTACCAGACATTTAATAGTTCTCTCTATGAAGCTGGACTTAAAAGTACCCCTCAGATAAGTAGGGACGTTTCTAGATGTAATACCCCCAACTAAGGTTTAGATTAGTTCTTCTAAGTGTCCATCCCAGAGAATAAAAGTTTGTTTCATTACACTGAAGAGGTAGTCATTTTAAACACCTGAATATGCATCTAGATTAGACTAAAGATCTGATATAGGATGCTAATTGTTCTGGGAAAAGGCCATTACAGCTGTGCTTCTCAAACTATACAGAGCATTAGAATCACCTGGGGAGCTTGTAAAACTACAGCTCCTTGGACCCCGCCCCCCCTACAGAATCTCATTTGGTTTGACCATGAATCTGCATTTCTAACCAGTTCCTAGGTGATGCTGATGCTGATGCTGCTGGTCCAGGGACCACACTATGTGTGGCTCATTGAAAAAAAACTAAATGAGCATTAAGTGGCTACAATTTACCCAAAATAATGTGAAGAGGCTACGGAGAAGACATGCGCTTGCCCTCAAAGTCAGTTAATATAATCCCATGTATACTATGAGTAACATAACAAGTTATATGGCACCTAATAACTTAGTTCTCTGGACCCAGCAAAGGCCCCATGGAAATCATTATGACAAATTTCACAGTCACCTTAATCACTGGAAGACAGATTTGACCCTCACGTCGTCTTAGATATCTTAGGAACTGCTTCCCATGTTCCCTTTTCACCTCAGCTTGGTCTTCGAAGAATGCGGCAAAGAGAGGTGCTTCGGTGTCTTCATTGTAATAACAGGCCTGGGACAGGGGTGAGAATGGGAAGACATTGGAGGTGAGACAAGCTGACTTTTAAGACTAGAAATCTTATACAAACTCACTTTACTGTCTCTGTGGTTGTCTAAGAGAGGCCTTCTTTGTTCGGTCGGGGGACCTTGGTTTGTCCTTTTACTTCCAGAAGGCCCCAGCTGTCTTTCAAACCCAGGATACCTCAAAGAGAAGCCACCCAGATTTTAAAATGCTGGGGCCTAATCTTTGGCTCAGATTTGTGAAGCCCATATGCTAGCACATATATCCAGTAATTGTGTAGACACAGCAGAAGTCCAGCATAAATTGACATTTTAAAGTCAATATATTGCTCCAATCCTAACACATGTATATTAACTCTGAAATAGAATATGGCTGAAAAGTGATTTATTCAGTCTACCACCAGTGTCTGATGCCCATAAAGTTTTGGGAACCCACTGAAAATAACTGTAATTCTTCCTATTTTAGCCCATAGTTTGTAATCACAGCTCTAAATCATTAGGCCACAAAGCAGTAAAATCCTAGCCTCTAAGTTGCTGTTACATCTAGCGTCATACCACAAACATGGCCATAACCACCAATACTAAGAATATACAAGATAACAGACCAGAGTTGAAACTCCCTCACAGGGGCTCAAGAACCCATACTAACCATAGATAAATAAGCATCACTGATATGCAGCTCATAAGATGCCACATGATTAATAGCAACCCGACACTCTTCAGAGATGAGGTTCTGGGCCTGGTATGCCATCTCAGCTTTAGAGAAAACCAGGCATAAACAGTGCTACCCAGCAACCTATAGGATTCCTTAAATACTAGAAGGTAGCGAGCCCACTTTCATACAGCTGAAAACTAGATGAAATTCCACCCAGCTGAGGTTAACAGTCACTGACGTACTAATGAGGATATTGTTTCTGTGTGAAAAAACCAATCTAACCAGAGAAAGGGGTGAAAATAAATTTAATTCTCCTAAATATCCCAGCCAGTGTTGAGTGCTCTCTCATGTTTTGGCTGTGATTTGAGAAGGCTGACCTACTTCTTGAATAGAAAGGCAGTAACAGAGTAGATGCATTAGTTTTAATTTATTCCTTTCTTCAAAAACTATTTATGGCACAGCATGCTAGGTCCAATGGGGAATCTAGGAAGACTAAAATACACTCTTTGTCCATAGGGATATAGCTTCCACCCCATAAAGCTGCAACACACGTAATTGATCTTAACACAGGATATGATGAGAGTTCTGAAGTGTCAAAGTATATTTAGCTGAGGGAATTATGGCAGATTTTATTGACAAATTGGCATTTGAAATTGGCCTCGGAAGGTGGGGAGGAATGTAGATAAACAGAAATGGAAGAAGGGAGTTTCACCTGGAGAACAGGGCTTCAGGGTAAGACCTAATAATGGTTCCTCCATGCCACAATGAGACTGCTCCATCTGGGAACCTTTTGTCTCCTTCCTCAAACAGTCTCCCAAAAGTTCGTACCTGCCTCAACATACACCTTCTTTATTAGCCTCCTTTGAGAGTAGACATTGTTTTACTTATCTTGGTAGTCCCACAGCTCATAATGAAGTGTTTTATATGCAATAGGAATGGAATCAACATTTATTAAATAGAATATAGTTTACATGTATGACAGTGTGATTTCCCATAGCCTGGTGGGTGCTGCCACTGTGCCTGTGCCACATCTGGCTGAACTGAAATAGAAGTGGCAGGTCACCAAAAGTCCATCTGTTGGAGGCGGTGAGGAGAGAGGGGGTTTCCTGATGCGCAGCTCACCTTGGGAGAAGGAGCCACGCATTCTAACTTTGGCCCAGTCACAAAGTTAAGGGCATCAAAGGGAAGAGATTATTACAAAAAGTCCTATTATTTGTCACTTTTGTTTCTTGACCCAACCCTGCCCTTTTCCCTAATTGAATTCATGCTTTTAGTCCTTGAAGGTACTTTACCTAGGTGCTTCTCAAACTGTAATTTGTATATAAATCACCTAGGGCCCTTGTTAAGCTGTAGATTCTGATTCACCAGCCTGAGATTTCACATTTCTAATAATTCTGCCAAATGTTGCTGGTCCAGGGACCAAATTTTCAGTAGTGAGGGTTTAAGTATAATCCTAAAAAGTTATTTGAATAAGTTAAGTAAGACATGGGACACAAATGGTACCATGGGGTGCCGCGTAAGAGAGGAGAAGGGGACCCGCCATGCTGCTACTCCACAGACCGCCGCACTGCTTGGCACGTCAGAGCTCCCGAGACCTCCGCTGCCGCGGCCTGGGGCGTGGGGCAGGCAGCAGGGCTGGAGCACTTAGGAACGTCTGGCTTATGAAGGTTACAGCAGAAGAGGAAAGAAGAGGGTGTCTGATTAGATAGTTAACTGGCTTTGCTCATGATATGTTAAAACATCTCCTGAACTCCCAAAAGGATTTGGGGAAACTTTTTAGGAGATTGGGGTCTCACATGAGCAGTGTGAACAAGTACCAATAAGATCTGAATTATTATTATTAACATGACCCCATCTACACGATAGTAAATCTGAAAAATAAAAGCTCCACTTCTGGAAAATATCATGAGAGTTTGGATATTTCTGGGTAGATCATCTTAAAATCTTAGGAAAAGATAATATCTCTTCACATGAACATTCCATAATTCTAACATTCATTCCATCTGTACCAAAACACAGTACAAAATGCATGTGAAGAAAATGTTCTTGTTCTTGTGGGTTAGATATTATTATGAAACATTGCTATCTAATCATTTATTTTAAAATTTTCTTTTCATAATAAGATTAATACAAGTTAATAGAGTACTAAGCTAAAAGTTAAAATAAAACCTATTTTGCTGAACTTTGGAATGAAATGGTTTGATGGAGACATATTTTCTTACCACTTATTAACATCTTCAGTTGGCCTCAACTCTTTCTGAGATAGATTCATGTCTTTAAGGAACTGAATAGTCTAGATGTTTTTCTTTCTTTTCTTTCCCCCACAGATAAATGGCTAATGATTATTTGTTGATGTTTGTAAGTTCAAAGAACTTTACATACACAGCCTGTGAAGCATTAAATATTTTAGCTGGACATTTGGGACTTGAGGTTATTTTACATTTGCTACATAATTATTTGAAAACAACCTCACCAATATACAGGAAAAAAAAGAGAAAAGGAATATACCACCAACATTAGTAACAGTTGTGTTAGTATGGTAGCTTTGCAGGTGATTTTTTTCCCTATTTTCTATATTTTTCAAACTTTTATAATTATATATATATTTTTCATTTTGAAAAAGGAGCCTAACAAATCCTTTTCTAGAGAATTAGCAAATGGAAGCTCCACATACATACATATTTATGAACATATTGTTTTTTTCTTATTACAAGTATAATGCTTTATCATTGTAAAGTATTCCAAAATTATAGAATTATATAGTGTAGAAAGTGAGAGCCCACTTTCTACACTATAAAGTGAGTGCAGCACTGTAGATCCAATATATATTTTAAATTTAATTTGATTCACTATACTGTTATTAAATTTTGATAGCCTTATGAATTGACTTTTGAATGATGGGATATGCTTGGACTGGTTTATGCACTCTCTTCCTTGGAATGTGCTGAAACATAAAGGCACCTTTAAAAAAAAAAGAAATTGTTGAATTTCTTTAAAAAAATTTAACCTAATCCAAACTTTCTGTCCTTACAGTGTTACTTCACCTTGTCATCTCCCTGACAAGTGGCTCTCTTCTGAACTTAATTCTAAACAAGAAATTTTTATCTTTAAAATAAAATATCTTTAGTATTTTTCATCCCCTTTATTGTGTTCCCTCATTAGTTTATAAGCTTCACGGGAAACAGCCTAAGTCTTAGTCATCTTTGTATGTCCCAGAGCATTTAGTACAGGCCTTGTCCACACAAAGCACTCAATAAATTATGTTGACTGGACAATTTGAAGGAAAAAGAAACCTGAAGAAAAGGCAGCACTTAACATAGTCCAGGGCAATGAGTGGGTTCTTCAATGTTTATGGATGAAAGAGTGAATAAATGAAGTAAGTTGCGAAGATAGCAAAATAGCAAGCTTTAAAAGCTAAGATGCCACAAGTGATTCTGGTGACAAGAAGAACAGGCATCTACAGAAATGTGCCCACACACATATCCTGCTGCCTCTACTTCCAGACTTAGTGCAGCTATCTCATCCTCTGCAGCGTGTTTTCTGACTTTCACAGTCTGCGTGTGGTAGCCCCACCTTTCTGCTACTTGGTTATAATAATTCTTCCTAAACCTTTGTAAACCTTACTTATCTGTATCCTCTCTACTAGTTAATGAATTCCTTGAAGGCAGTAGTGTTAGGATGTAGAGATGCTATCATCTATCACAGAACAGGGAACAGCAGGCCACCAATTGATATCCATTTGCTATGAATAAATAAATGGTCAAACATTTAAAGGGAAAACACAAAAATATAGAAGACAAATACATGAGAATAAAAATGAAAAATAAATTATCAGGAAATATAAACTTTCATGTGTATTTGGGGTCAGAATATATATACATATATTTTAAAGCTAACATCAACAAAAAGAGTTTTTTGAGGATAGAAGTAATTTTTTGACCAAAAAGAGCAAAGCAGGAAGAGACAGATTCACTGATGGGACACGAAGTGCAATGTTAGCCAAGGACAGAGGGAAAGTGGAAGTGCTATATCAAAGAGAAACAAGTGTAAATAAACAAAACCTCAGATATTAATAGATAAATGTAAGTAGATGGGTAGGGGAGTAGGAAGTAGTAGGAAAGCCCCAGTAGAGAAGTAGGGAATTAAAAGGTACCTAGGTTGTTAAAATCGAGGTTCATGTTCAGGTTGAGGTGAACTTTATTCTTTGGTTGAAATAATGACATTTAGAAGTGTCTTAAGAAGCACTGTTGGTAACATTTAAACAATATTGGAGGGAAAGACTAAAATGCAACTAAAGACTTTTATGTTTTGATAAAAAGATGCAGACATTTGTACTAGGTGATAATATCATTATGCCAATTTGCATCTGAAAATCAAAGGCAGTCATTTATTGCATGGAAACTAATTAGCAAAAGCTCTGGTGACATGTTAAAGGACATTATATTTTGCCATATCTTCTTTTCCTTTCATCTTTCTGTCTTTTTTTTATCCTTATGATGTCTTTTAACTGAGGACAGACTTGATTTTAGAGGGAGGGGAAGGCGGGGGAGAGCGAGAGAGAGAGAGAGAGAGAAACATCAATGTGAGAGAGAAACATTGATTGGTTGCCTCTCATGCATGTTCCAGCTGGGAACTGAACCTGCAACCTAGGCATGTGCCCTGACAAGGTATTGAACCTGCAATCTTTTGGTTTATGGGAGCCAGCAGAACTTAACAGGATAAATCAAATTGTCTGAAGCTAATATGATGAAATTTAATTAAGATGAACATAAAATCCTATATTTCAGTTCAGTAAATCAACAACCCATAAACAGAAAGAAAAAGACCTTGAGGAGCAGCAGTTCATGTGAAAAAGACTGGTAGAATGTTCAACATGACCAAAGAGTTGACAGAAAACAAAAGCAATTCAACCTCCACCTCTAACAGGCATATAAAAGACTTGCTTTATTGACTAATGGATCTATACAATTGTCAAGTCACTGTGCACATGAGAAGTGAAGCTTCAGTTCTTGGTCTCAGTCTTGCTGATGTCTTTTTCTGTGGCTGGAACTATTCCTCACAGTGCTTTATGTGATTCTTTGATGTTAGACTTGGGG